TAGCAAACCTCAATTTACAACGACGATGCTGAAGAAAAAAAAAGTTTTAGCAATTTATGAATCTCTATATGCAAAAATAAAGAAAGTTTTCTGATTTAACTATTACTTTTACAAAATTCATTGTAAACATTTGTACAAGTAAAAGTTTTACAATACCCCTTTGTAGCGTCTTTTGTTGTAATAACGTGCATAGTCTTCGTCGTGATCTTTGTTACAAATCTTTAAAAGAAACAGTTTCTGATGAATTTATGTGTGTAAACAAAGAATATTGAAAAGCTAATTGCATCTAGCTCACCTGTTCATGAGCTGAAGACTCAAACGGGCTTTTAAATAAAATTTATCCATTGTCATTAACTTTAGTATTTATATTTTTCCAGAACCACTTGGTCAATTTTCGACTTAACTTGCCAAATGCATTCCTAGGAAAAAAGAATTCAAAATCAAATGTTTTAATTAAGCAACACGCACTCATTCAAGGAGGGAGGACCTGGATTATAAATAACCAGTGAAAATTTGATGGGAAGTTTTAAACCTCTTCTCAATAACAACTTGGAAAGATCAAAATAAAGGAGATGGGAAAAAGCTTTATAACCATTTTTTTTACGAAGCTTTTCTCCCGGCTGGGTTAGAGCGCGACTATAGCAGTCGATGAAAGTCTTACATTGGATTATATAGGAAAACTTCTTTTAAACAATCTCCTTGTCAAGAACAAAAATTTAATATCAAGTCATTTTGTAAGGAACATCCTCCTGTACAATGTGGATTCAAATTGGTTAATCTTAAGGGGAAATAAGGCCACATAGGGAAATCAAAAACTTTATAAAGGACAAGAAAGGAAAGACCTTGACACATTTTCTCAAAAGATTATTCCATTTTCTTAAAATGAATCTATTCATATGGAAGCCTCCTCGGGTAGAATAAATTCAGGTTTATTGAAATCATACTACTTGAGGGTATGAAGAGCCACATCTGGCAACCATGGTTTTAAATTTAATTTTATCGTGAAAAGTGGACGCCCCTAGCAATATGGTTAAAACTTTTATTTCAGAGTCGCGGTGTAGGGTGTTGATTCTTACATTGTACGTATCAGACTCAATCCCTGAACAAGGATGTGAAGATCGGTCCTTCGGTTGAGACCATATGTATAAACAGATGTCCCATGTCAAAGTAAGTGCAAGAATAAGGTCTTAGTACTAATCTAAATTTGAAGCTCTCCACCAGATGTTAATGCATGTACATGTACGTAGATGCATCTGATTATGAGTGAAAAATGTTCGATGGGTTTTTAAACTAATAATCAGCACACATTATGTGGAGGCTTCCTCAGCTTGTTTCGCATGAGATTTTTTCAAATGTAGCAAAATCATATTAAGTCATTTAAATAAGTAAAACATATCTAAATTCTGTAGATGTTTTCAATGTTTACACCAATATGAGGATAGTAAACAATCTTGACATATCTTCTTAAAATGAGAAAAGCTATGAGAAGTCCTATCATACATGTTATACCCCCTCATCATTATGTTCCCCAAACGAAGTTGGGGAACATATTGTTTTTACTCTGTTTCTTATCATTATTATGTCGTCCCAGACGAAGTCGTCGGGACGACATATTGCGATTGTACGCATGTTTTTTGTCCAGGCGTTTTCTCGGAGATGGCTGGGACAATCTTCCTGAAACTTTCCTCAAAGGACGATCACTGGTTGTTGTTGTGCCATGTGGTCATTCAGTTTCAAAATGGCTACCGTTGCCATGGAAACCTAAAAAAAGCGACGAATTTTGTCCGCGAGTGTTCTCTCTGGTCCCTTGGACATTCTTCATGAAACTTTGTTGTTGTAATTGTTAGTATATGTAATTGTGCGATTTGCATTTAAAAATTGCAAATTGTCAATTTGTCAATAGTTGCCATGGAAACAGGGACAAAGTGCAAATTCTTTAACTTTGATTTTAAATCAAAGTACTGAAAGTACTGAAAGGACTGATACGAGTTGATGGTTTTCCAAGCTTAGCTATAATGGGTTTTGATTTAGTGATGACAAATAATGAAAGTCTTCTCTAATTCGGGGACGACATAAGCTATTGCTTGCAATAGCAAACTTTCTAGTTATTTTTCTTCTTCTTCTTCCTGGGTACTTTTTTGTCCGGGAATGATCTCGTAAACTATACATCAGACTAAGGTGAAATGTTTTTAGGGTCAGTAGATGTGTTAGTAGATTTGCGTATCGAAGGTCATTTTGCGCGCACGTGCTTGCAAGAGCGTGCACGTGTAACATGTGAAATGACCGATTTAATTGATACAGGCGTAACTTTTTAAATTTTTGATGAAATGCTTTGAAACTTATAACATAAGGATATATTAGTAGCATAGACAATATGACATGGTCAAAATAGCAAGATCTCACGCGCATGCACGTGCGCTTTGCTCTGATTGGCTGAAACTAAAGTCTCAATATCTTTCTTGTTTTCTGACGAAATCCTTTGAAATTTTGAAAATAGCCATGCATTAGAATATCCTACAACATGATATATAGCAATTATCAGGAAAACATGTGCATGCACGTGCGCTGCAATCTGATTGGCTGAAACTTTAAATAGCTATAACTCCTTTGATTTTCAACCAAACAGGGTGGGATTTGGAACATAGATAGATATACTGGTCTTCTACAAGAAAATATGGTCACCATGCACATGCATACACGTGCATGTACGTGCGCTGCAATCTGATTGGCTGAAACTTTAAACAGCTATAACTCCCTTGGTTTTCAACCAAACGGGGTGAGATTTAGAACATAGATAGATGTAACGGACATCTACAAGAAGGTATGGTCACCATGCTCATATATGCACGTACGTGCACGTGAAATGAGCAAAATCAAAAAAACACTTGAATGAGCGCATTGTTTTAATACTTTTGGATTAAATACTTTAATATTTAGTGTATTAAAATATATAGACTGTGTAGATAAGATGATATGGTCATTACGCACATGCATTCACATGCGCACGCGTGCAATGCTAAAATTTGAATGAACTTTGTACACTTCTGGGTAAACGTTGTTAAAGTCTCAAATGCATAAAGTTTGTCTTATTTAATGAAGCTTCCAGGGAATATGGCACCGAAAGGGAGTTGGGGAGCGTTTGGGGAACATCTGTAACGGTCCCCGTTACAATTAGCACTAGTTTTACCTGGTATGTAGTTCAAACCAATAATTGGACATAACATAATTTCTACAAATTCCCTAAAGATTGTTTTAATGGATTACTAATCTAATAATATTATTTTACAAACGTCTTTATGGTCTCTTATATGCCCTTGTTCATCTTCTTCCTCTTTATCGTTGTCATTTTCATGTTGTACCTTGAAACATGATAGATGATATATTATTTCAACTGTAATTAAATTTAGAATCTTTTTTACAACTGTAGTAAAACCTGAATAACATTTACACAAATTATATTCTTAAATGTATATCGTAAAAATTAATTTTATCTTTATATTTTGACATACTGTATTTCCACATTTTTAATGCTAAATGCCAGAAATCTTTAGATGAATGTACTTACCTTGATCATTACCGATAGGACAACCAATCCTTCTGGCCTGAATTTAGCGTATGTTATGTTTTTGTACCTCCTGTCATAAAACACCAAGTGAGCCTAAAAGGAAAAAATATCATAACTTATAAAATCCATTTCATGCATTAAAAGAGAAATACATGTAACTACCCATCTCTGCAATATAAAGAAACCGTTAACATGTTTTTTTTTTTTTACATAACCGATATTCTTATGCATCTAATGCTTTTACCTTATTCCTCTAATTTGAATAAACGATGTTTTTCTACATTCAATTGCTAAGACATGTAAACTGAAATGAATTTCAAAATCTTTTGTTGTTGTATTTAGGACTTAAAATAATCCTTGTCATACCTCCATGGGATAAAATTTGCTGTTTATAGAGTGTTCTGAACCTTTCCTCCTCTTTTTGCCAACATGAATGTGCAGCTGTTCGAAGTTGTATGTTCTATGTCTTCTAAAAGGAACATGCGTAAGAGTTATTTTTCCTCGTTCCTCTTTATTCACTTCGAAGTGCGGTGCATGTCCTTTTGAATTAAAGAAAACGGAGATTGTTTGCTTATTAGTGACACGTACACGTGATTTTCTAATGTTAACAGGTCCTATAAAATCTTCAATATAAAAAAAATCGATAAAAATTATGAACAGGACATTTATTTCACAAGCTACATGTGTCTAGAATTGTTAAATTAAGAAAATTCAATGGTTATGTACTAATATATCTTTGTATATACCAAGCTGTGTGTTAATCATAATTTTTTTTTACATTGCACCAGTTAATCCAATGAGAAATACAAAGCAAGCGACAAAAACACAATTATTAATTTTGTTTGGTGCAACACGTTTTTAATCATGTTGCTGCATAGTAAACATTTTAATGTTAATTAAAATTGTCAGTATCTGATACCATTATTGTAGATTTTGGCATTCACTCTTGTATCAAAACCCTTTAACACAATGTCTCCACGGTACCGTTTTAAGGACCTTGTCTTTCTTGTTTTAATGTTGATGGGCGACTGTCTTTCTTTCGAGCCACAGGTTGTCCAACATTTGTTTACATTGCACCATTCAAAAGGACCTAAAACAAAAAATAAATGTACGCTGGTACCCCTAGTATTTTTTTATTTAGCTTTTTGAGTGTCTGATTGATAAAAATCCAGGTTCCTGAGGAGAAATATGTCAATAAAAATCATCTCGGTCTGTTTTTCGGACATGCTATAACCTCTGAATCCCTAGTAAATTCATACAGAATTGAACATATTTTATCTTTAATAGATTCATATAAGAAAAATATTTGCAGATTTAAATATCTTAAGTTGACTGATAATTGTATGCGTGGCACAGTACAATAGCATAATAATTATGCTCTAAAGTGGCTGAATAAGAAGGTGATACTTACGTCGCGAGTCGCGAGTTTTAATCCCATCGCAGGACATGGAGACAGGTCCTTCGGATAAGACCATATAAACCGAGTTTCAGAATCCATGTTGCAGTAGGTTTTTGCACAAAAAGATAAAGTTCTGCTCGGTGGCAAAATAGTTCAAATTTGTAGCCCTCTAACGACAAGTAGTAGCATCTCCATATAAATGAAAACTTCTCGAAAGAGATATGATGTTAAAAAGATAGACAAGCATAAACATTCTTTGATGTTCTACACGTTGTCCCTAAATATGTTTTTTCTTAAGAAGCATGAACGCTAATTTGATTAACTGATTTATTGTATATTGTTTTAAGTTCCATACCTAAATTTTCTTCCATATAAAGATTTCTCGGCACTCAAAAACATTCATCAGTGGGGGAGGGAGGGGGGGGGGGGGCTTATCGTGGCAACGCCTGTCTTGACACAGGGTATTGGTATTTAAGATTCCATTCAATGGACTAGCATCTTTCACTTCAAAGATCCCAGCAGAGCATGGCAAAGAATTGATTCCCGTTTTATTGATTTAGGCTAGACGCGACGGATATTCAAACTCTTGAAATTCCGATCAAGGAGTGAGCTGTCTGCCGACTGAGCTATCATTACGGTCTATATCAAACCTCTGATCAAAGCATGCACGGGAACTCAGTTTATACGGTCTCATCCGAAGGACAGGTCTCCACGTCCCACAGTGGGATTCGAACCCGCAACGTAAGGATCATCTATTTACTTCGCGACTCTAGAGGAGATACTCTATCCACTGCGCAAGGCGGGCAACAATTCTTCAAAAGAAAGAATTGATTACCTATATTTACAGGTTTCTCAAATTACAAGTTTCGTAAATCAATGTTTTAAAAATACATTCCAATAAATCCTAATCTTACCCTCACAAAAATCTGATATGCGGGCGACAATTCATCAAAAAAAAAAGTATTGAATAGCTTTCGTTCTATATTTTCAGGTTTCTTAAATTATTTCAAAACAACCTCCCGAAACCAATTTAACATTTAAATCCATTCCAATAAATCCAAATCTTACCTTCACAGAAATCCTTTCTATCGTAACTAAAATGAGCGTCCTTGATATTTTCGTAATAGCATTTATTACGTGATGAAGGTCTGACTCCAACATAGCCTACCCCGTCTACTGTACTAAAATACAGCAAACAAAGGCAAACTAATACTAACATTGCCAATTTTATCTAGTGAGACGAATAAAAAATCGTTGCTTCTTTTATGAAAAAATAAATGTGTTTTAAGCCACGTGATTTTGTGATAACCTTTGGATGGAAATATACTGCCATAATTTTACCGTCATTTATTATGTGTCGATTACTTTTAATTAATATTAAGATAATAGTTTAGAAACATTGCATGTAGGTACCATTTATATGAATTTCATTTCATTTGTCAACGTTAACACATGTAAAGAATTAATTTCTTAAATTAATATACAGTTATTTAGCTTAATTCTAATGAAAGTGCTTACGCTTTCTAAAGTTATAAATAATTAAAAAAGGATAATTGAGTCATATTGTATACAAGAAACAGAAGACTATGTTACTTTATGGAATTGATTAGAAAACATATGAAAACTACAAAGATAACAAACATGTAAGTATTGGTTTTTCTTATGTTAATGTAAAACGTCCGTCTTGAAATGTTTTCACTCTTCTGGAGGCACTCAGCGATGAATTTATTTTGCGCCAGTACTTACTGCGACACGGGACCTCGGTTTTAACCAAATGACTGGTCCTCCAGTCCTGCAGTAGGGTTAATCCCTCAACATAAGGACTAAAATTCTTACTTTGTGACTCTCACCATCGCGCCATTGCGGAGACGTAAGATATTATGTAAAATTCCATGAAAATGTATCTACAGAAACTGGAATTTTTCTGCAAGTTTATTATTATGGTGAACATATTTTGTTCTCCAATAAAAAGAGAAAATACTGAAGACGTACTTTTTTTCCACGGGGTCATAATTCCGCTGAATATCAATTTCTTTTTAGTCCGCGGGTAGAAAATAACGCGGATTTTCTAGATTGTCACTATATGCCTTACATTTATATTTAGTACGCTTGGATAAATTTCTGCGGAAACTTTTTGACCGCGAACATAGTGTAAATTAATACCACGCGGAAAAAAATACTTCTACAGTAGTCAAGAGTATTTGCCAATAGCAATAATTATTACATGTAAATGTTAATAATCATCATGAAATTAATATTTTAAATAAAATGATTTAATAAATGTATTGAAACTTAAAACAGAACAAATACGTACATGTATAAAGATAAAAGTTGTAAAGATAATATAAATGCATGAGTGAAAATAAATATAATTGAAGAATGGGTAATTTTAAATTATCTTTACATTTAGATATTTTGTAATTTATTGCACATTTTATAAAAATGATTGGATATTTTTCTCATGTACAAAATACTTTAAGAACAGATGAAAAACAAAAAAAATTGAAATGGCAGCTTAATTAAGAAGAGATACAGGTTACATGCATTAGCGATGCGTATAAAAAATAGAACTTGATTTTATGTAGGTCTAGTTAGGGTATCTTTCTGTCTTATAAAAATGTAAACCAACATCCTAACAGATGGTTACATTGCTTGCATTAAGGTACATGTAGATTAGATATTATGTTCTTGGTAAAAAAAAAAAGAGAAATGCAAAATTCTTTAAAGTTCATGACAATAAAGTCTTAAAAGCCTCACGCAATCTGCTGATGTGTTATGTCCATGTTTAGGTATTATATAAATAATTATATGTGACATAACGTATTAAGCAAATAAAGTAAACATAAACTAACAATTACAGAGGAACAGTGAAATGAAAAAATAATTTTAAATGCATTGACGTAAAAGAGTAACTTCAGAAAAAAAAAAATCAACAACACGTGCTTGATACACGTAATATAAATATGAAATATTATCACTTCAAATTTCTAAGATACATGCAACTTTGTTTCAAATGTCTATTCTAGAACGGTTCAAAAATATGAAGACGCCACCAATATCTGATGAAACGATTTCAACCTGTATTCAAGGTAAGTGCAACAAATTTTATACTTATTCAATTAAAACACATACTTAAGTTTTATTAATAATTCAGCTTTTCATTTTTTCTTTCAATTGTTCATTTATAGTGAATTTGCATATGTAATAAAGCTATCATTTATTTACATAGCAAACCTTTTTCAATGAAAATAATAATAAATAACAATCATTACTTCAAATATTTTTTCACTGCCTACGTAAGAGCATAATATATGAGTTATACTTGATTCATCATATTAATTTCTCCCTTAAACAGTGACATTCAGAGTTAAAAATAACATTAGCAATGAGCACCTGACACCTTATAGTTTTTGTACGTCCTTCCATCATTTAAAGGAGAGGTTTTATGTTAGTTCGTATTAGAAGTTATTGTTTATGGATAATTGATAGCGAGATTTTCAATCTTTTGAAATTTCTATAGTATATAGTTTAGGGGAAAATCAAGATATTTTTGAAGAAATATATAAAGAAGTAGATATAAAAACTTGTAATTTATTTTAAAAAAGTCTAAAATAAATTTAATAAATGTTTTTCGTTATCATGAAGTTTTAAGAATTTGAAAAAATAATGACAAATAAGTGAACATGTGCCATAAGTCAACAAACATTATTTTAAATGATACGGGATTTCAATTAGACATTGAAATGAATTACGTAGTCTGAACATTTTTTTCTCTTCTTTAATTTATGGAAGCAAGGGGGGGGGGATCAACAAATAAACAGTTAGATACCAAATTAATTTTGTAAATATGATATCTTTTGCTGTCAATTATCATTTGAAAAAGAAAGGAAATCATACATTTTACAAGAGGCCCAAGGGCCTTGAATCGCTCTTCTGATAAATTGTACAATCTATCACTTCTATTATAAGCCTCCAACTCTATTAGTATCATAAGTCCCAAAATGCATCAACTGACAAAGTGTGATAATATTTAGCCAATTAAGACAGAATATATTATAATATAATTATAAAATACCACAAGTAGGTAACAGTGACCTACCTTTTGATTTAAATTTTCTGAGGATTCAAGATACATTAATTAACAAAGTTTGATGATTATAAGCCAACAAGTACCTGAGATATATTCAAAAGTAGGTCACGGTGACCTACTTCTTGGTCGACATTCTCCTATACCCTAAGATACTTCAACTGACAAAGTTTGATGATTCTGAGCCAATAAGTACCAAATATAATTAAATATAGCCATCAAATGTCAAAAGTAGGTCACGGTGACCTACTTTTTGGTCAACGTTCTCCAAAAACCCAAGATGCCTAAACTGACAAATTTTGATGATTCTAAGCCAATAAGTAACTGGTATTCATAAGTAGGTCACCGCGACCTACTTTTTAATCGACATTCTCCGAAAACCCAAGATGCCTCAACTGACAAAGTTTGATGATTCTAAGCCAATATGTGGTTGAGATATTTCAATATAGCCACAAAATGTCAAAAATAGGTCACCGTGACCTACTTTTTGGTCGTCACTTTCCGAAAAACAAAGATGCATCAACTGACAAAGTTTGATGATTCTAAGCCAATAAGTACCGGAGAAACTTGAATAAAACCATAAAATGTCAAAAGTAGGTCACTGTGACCTACTTTTTGGTCGTCACTCTCCGAAAACCCAAGATGCATCGACTCACAAAATTTGATGATTCTAAGCCAATAAATACCTAAAATACTTAAATATAGCCATGAAATGTCGACAGTAGCTAGGTCAGCAGAAGGATAAAACGTACGCTCAACTAGGACCGTAGGTCCCCTGCTCAGTTCACGACTATCGGGCCTGTTTACTCCGCTACAAAATGTAGTGCGTTGCATACGTAAAGTGAAAATAGAATAAATCGTAATACTGTGAAGTCCTTATCAGTGTAAAAAACCCAGAAAATTTATTTTCGTCAAAGGAATAACCATCTGATTGGTATTAGAAAAGATAGAGGGGGAGGGGGTGCTGAGCAACATTACTGCAATATTATAAGATACATGATATACATGTATAAGAGTTTCACATTTAAGGATTATGTGGGGTGACCTGTGGTCTCCCCTATGATTTTATTATTCCATGTAAGGTTATAGTATCTATATAACACAGTGCATAACCTCTGATCTCCTTACTTATAGTAAGCGACTCAGAGTAAACGACGCCGACGGTCCAGTCTCTGCATTCGCAGATCTCTAACAAGCTAGGGGAGGATGAAGATCTTGCCCCCTACCACCCCCTACCTCTTCATTTCGCTTGGACTTTTCACCAATCCTTTAAAATGATGGAATATTTATTTGTTAATAAATTATGTAATGTTTCCTTTGTCTTCCTTATGAGGTCATGCTTCAATAGGCGACCTCATCAATTTAACACTTATTAGTAAACTCCTGATTTTATTTATCTTACAAATTAGATGTACCTCCTGTATTGCGAAGTGTGGGGCTGCATGGAGTTCTCCTCCCCTTTCCCTGGAATTAACACATCAAATTCACAAACCAATCAAAACTACATTTAAAAAAAAAAAAGAAATAACACTTTTAAAATGCACCAATTGTTATTTACTTTTGGGATACATATAATGTATTTAAAGAAAGCAAGTTGACTAATCCTCCAAATTCCAATTATATACATTTAGAGAATTCGGAGAAATTGTGCACTTTTTTCCCTGCCAAAAAAATTAGGGTCGCAACTTTTTTTGGAGAGGATTTGAAAAAATAATTCTACACATACCATGATTTTAAATTATTGCCTACTTACAACTTTTAGTCACATCATAATAATGTACAACATAAGATTACCTTTGTCTTATTTATATACAACAATTTGTGAAGTATGAAATCCTTTTTGATGTACAATATAACACTTCCGCTTGTTCCCATAATCTTTATGCTGATACCAGAGGTAACAAAAAGTTAATAAGACCAGAGGTCACTTTATATTGCACACCTTTAGGGCGACCATAGGTCACCTTTTATTGTACATCAAAAGGGAGACCAGATATTTACATCATAGGGGGGACCAGAGGCCGCCTTATATTGTACCTCAGTAGGGGGACCAGAGGTCATCTTATATTGTACATCAGTAGGGGACATCAGTAGGAAGACCAGAGGACACCTTATATTGTACATGTACATCAGTCAGGGGACCAGAGGTCACCTTATATTGTACATCAGTCAGGGGACCAGATGACAACTTATAATGTTCATCAGTAGGGAGACCAGGGGTCACCTTGTATTGTACATCAGTAGGGAGACCACAGGACACCTTATAGTGTACATCAGTAGGGGACCAGGAGACACCTTATATTGTATATCAGCAGGGAGACCAGGAGTCACCTTATATTGTACATCAGTAGGGGGACCAGAGATCACATTATATTGTACATCAGTCAGGGGACCAGAGGTCACTTTATATTGTACATCAGTCAGGGGACCAGAGGACACCTTATACTGTACATCAGTAGGGAGACCAGGGGTCACCTTATATTGTACATCAGTAGGGGACCAGGAGTCACCTTATATTGTACATAAGTAGGAGGACCAGAGGACACCTTATAGTGTACATCAGTAGGAAGACCAGATGTCACCTTATATTGTACATCAGTATGGGGACCAGAGGTCACCTTATAGTGTACATTAATAGGAAGACCAGGGGTCACCTTATATTGTACATCAGTTGGAAACCAGGGATCACCTTAAATTGTATATCAGTAGGGGGACCAAAGGACACCTTATATTGTACATTAGTAGGGGGACCAGGGGTCACCTTATATTGTACA